TTTTCCTTTCTCCCGATACAAAAACATTCCATTCTTTACATTATATTCATTCAGCTCACAGAGGTTGTGCATACATTTTTTGGGACGCTTCCTTTAAAACAGTCGGGAGTCGCTCCTGTGTGCACCATATCCATGTGTGCGCCTGTGCACACCCTGATAAGACGCACTTGTTACTTTCGGAAAGCGCCCCGATGTGCACCATACATACATTTTCTGGATTAATAATAATAATAATATTTGATATAGCGCTTTTCAGGTCTTCGTCTGAGAAAGTGCTTCACAGAATATACTGTAAAGTGTATTGGCTGTATATCTGTGGGCAAAACGCTCTTTGGTTACATCTCAAGCATCCTTCTGTACCCTTACGTTTATTTCAGTCAGTTTTGGGTGTGCTCGTGGGCTACCCAAAGTACATAGTCCCTGATCCTAGCATGCACAAGCCTGAGGCAGGCCCTCACCATCCCTTCGTTCTGCCAGAAGAAAACCTGGTTTTGGGAATGCCAAACGGTTTCCTTTACTCAGTTTATGACCCTCCTGGCACACTCGATATGGGTTTAGCTGTGCGTTCTCGGGAAGAGGCCATACAGCAGGTCCGCAGGGATGAACCGCGTTAGTGTCCATTCCATCTTTTTCCAAACTGCCTTTGCGAAACAACACTCCAGGAAGAGGTGGTCCATGGTCTCCAGGCCTCTGCAGCCAGCCTGAGGGCAACGTGCTGACTGGCCCAGACCTCAATCGTGCATGAAAGCCTTGAGGGGGAAGGCCCCTTTTATCGCCAGGCAGGTCATGTCCTGATGGTTGTTGGTCAGGGCCGGTGACAAGGCGTTTTGCCAGATGTAGCTGGCCGTCACCACAGGGTATCTCCCAATCGGGTCTGCCCTCTCTCCCTTTCAAACTGTTTCCACTACATGTCGCACGGACCACTCTGTAATCGCGCAGGAGAATGGGATGGTGTTCTTCAGGAATTTCTCGACATAGGATAGGTGTTTGGCACTCTCCAGCTTTATGGAACATTTCGAGGCAATTCTGCCATACCCATCCTTCTTAGCACCTGGTACAGGTAGAAACCCATCAAGTAGCGGCTTTTGTTGCTGGAGTAGCGGGGCTCCAGGCACAACCTCAGGCAGCTACACACAAAGGTGACCATGAGGATCAGGGCTACATTAGGGACCCCTTTTCCAGGGTTTGTGCATCGTGTCCCTGCGGACACGATCCCTCTTGGACCACCAGATCGGTTGGAAGACTTCCCTGAGGACTGCAGTGGTGTTGTTCTTGATCAAAGGCCAGACCTGGGCCACGTACAGTAACACCGAGAGGGTTTCACACTTTATCACCAGGTTTTTTCTCGTGATGGGAGAGCGAGCGCTGGCGACACATCACCAGTTTCTTCCTCACTATATCTAGACACTCCTCCCAGCTTTTTTGGCATGCCCCGGCAGCCCCGAACCGAATGCCAAGGACTTTGATGCAGTCTGTCTTCGCCGCAAATTGTATGTGACTGCATTCTTTCCAGTCTCCAAAATACATCACCTCGCTTTTCTGGCAGTTGATCTTGGCGCCCGAAGCTTGCTCAAACTGGTCGCAAATGCCTAGCAGGCTCGAGACCAATTTTTGGTCTGTGCAAAAGACGGTGATATCAACCATAAACAGGTAGGCCTTGGCTTGTGTGCCGTGGCTGCCTGGGATGTTGACACCTCTGATGCTCTCGTCCCTACTGATGGCCTGTGCAAAGGGTTCGATGCAGCAGACAAACATGGTGGGGATAGGGCCCCATTGGCTGTTTTTATGGCCATCCACCTGGGTCATTGTCTTTAGTGACCTGTGAGTCTGTGCTCCTGGATCCCTCTGTTCTTCTGTCCCTTTAAGATTTAGGTTCTTCCTATGTTTTTCCTCCCTATACATTTTTCATCTAGCTCCATCTGCCACTTGTCTGCCAATTCAGCCATTCAATCAATATCTACCTGAGTTAATACTCATCACGAGCCCCCAGCTATCCTGTTATCCTCTTAAATACACTAATGCTATTTACTTTATCTACAGCTTCTGATCCACACTCTCAGCACCCTCTGTGTGAAGAAGTTTCTCCTAAACTCCTTATCTTATATCTACTATGCCCTTAGTTTTGGGCTCACCAACAAGTGAAAACAATCTGTCAACATCTATTATAGTGAACTCTTTCGTAATCTTAAACATCTCTGTCAGGTCCCCTCTCAATTGTGTCAATTCCAGAAAGAAAAGCTTCAACCTATCCAAACTTTTTTGATAGCTCTTTCGTCATCCGCTCTCTAGTAACAGCATTGCAAATGTATTCCGTACTCTCACCAATGCTGCAACATGATTCTGCTTTTTAACCATGCCTTTTGTGTAATTCCCTCTTACATTGAACAGGATGGTATGTGGAATACCACATGATTGTATATGGGCACTGTGCATGAATACAGAATAACAATGGAAGATGCCTTAGCCATGAGCAGGGAGGGATAGGGCATAGATGATTGAACGTCTACAAGGAAGACTCAAGGTTTTTGTGATACACAAAATATATTTCAATCTACAAATGGCCAGAGAAAATCTTTTTATTTCCAGCCGAAGGGCTGGAAAATTAGCAATGATTCACTGATATGCTTTTCCATTGTAATTGGAATTATGTTTTGTTTCAGCTCTAGCTTGCCTTCACTGTTGCCTCTGTAGCATTTTGTGGCATTTCTCTTGTTTTTCAAGTGAAATTCAAATGACCACTACCCCGTTAAAAACAAAACTGCAATTCCCCAAATTATCCTAAATATTTGAGCAATAATGGTCCCTACTATTACGCTGCAATTCACAACAGGAATTGCAGCTCTGCTAATATGCTTCATACTTATGCTTCAACTCACTGAAGGCCCCATGATGCATGAAGTTGTAATGAGGGATTTGAAGTTGTAATGGGGGATAGAAGTTGTAATGGGGGATAAGGACATGGCGAGCCCCTAAATGGGTACTTTGCATCTTCTTCACCCAAGAAGACACAACAAGTCTGCCAACAATAGAGATGCACCAGGGACAGGGAGCAACTTAGGGAAATTTTCATTAGTAGAGAATTGGTGCTAGGGAAACTGTTCGTACTAAAAAGTGACAAATCCCCTGGTTCGGGTGGCTTGCATCCCAGGGTTTTAACAGAGGTAGCTTATGAGATAGTGGAGGCCTCATGTCTGATCTTCCAAAATTCCTTGGATTCTGGAACAGTCCCCATGGATTGGAAGATCGCAAATGTCACACCGCTATTTAAAAAAGGGGGAAAGGGAAAGATGGGGAACTATAGGCCAGTGATAAGAAAAATTTTAGAATCATTGATTAAGGATGTGGTAGTGCGGGATTTAGGGAAGTCATGTTTGACAAATCTCATAGAATTTTTTGAGGATATTTCAAGTAAACTAGATAAAGGTGAATCAGTGGATGTGGTCTATTCGGACTTCCAGAAGGCATTCGATAAGGTGCCGCATAAAAGGTTAGTCCAAAAGATAAGGGCCCATGGAATTGGGGGGAGCATATTAACGTGGATTGGGGAATGGTTAACGGGTAGGAAACAAAGAGTGGATAAACGGGTCTTTTTCAGATTGGCGGGATGTGACTAGGATCAGGAGTGCCACAAGGATCAGTCCTTGGGCCTCAGCTATTTACCATCTACATCAACGATCTAGATGAGGACATCGAAGTTAATATATCTAAATTTGCAGATGACACAAAACTAGGAGGAAGTGTCAACACAGAGGATGACATTAAAAAAAAATCCACGTTGACATAGATAGGTTAGGTGATTGGGCAGGTAGGTGACAGATGAAGTATAATGTAGGGAAGTGTGAAGTCATCCACCTGGGTAGCAAAACAGTAGAGCGGGTTATTTTTTAGAAGGGGAGAGATTGGAATGTGTTAGCGTCCAGAAGGACTTGGGTGTCCTTGTACACCAATCACAGAAAGTTAGTCTGCAGGTGCAGCAGCAATTAGGAAGGCAAACGGTATGTTAGCATTCATTATGAAAGGATTAGAGTATAAGAGTAGGGAAGTCTTGCTGCAAATGTATAGGGCCCTGGTGAGACCACACCTGGAATACTGTGTGCAGTTTTGGTCTCCTTATTTAAGGAAGGATGTACTTGCCTTGGAGGGGGTGCAGCGTAGATTTACTAGGTTAGTACCAGGGATGAAGGGGATGAGTTACGAGGATAGGCTGACCAATTTGGGCCTATATTCTCTAGAATATAGAAGAATTAGAGAGGATTTTATAGAAACCTATAAGATCATCAAAGGGCATGATAGAGTAGATAGTGGGAGATTGTTTCCTCTGGTTGGAGAAACTAAAACCAGGGTTCACAACCTTAAAATCAGAGGCCAGCCCTTTCGCACTGAGTTGAGGAAGAGCTTCTTCACTCAAAGGATGGTGAATGTATGGAACTGGCTACCCCAAAGGGCTGTTGACGCTCAGTCCTTGAACATATTCAAGACTGAGATAGATCTATTTCTTATTGCAAAAGGGATTAAGGGATATGGCGATAAATCAGGGTTATGGCATTAGCTGGAGTTAGATTAGAAGATCAGCCATGATTGAATGGCGGGGCAGGCTCGAAGGGCCGAATGGCCTACTCCTGCTCCTACATGTTATGTTATGCATTACTTGTACCTTCTGGTTGACGAGTTACATTTCATTTAATGGAAGTGCATTACACCCTGAAACTGAAATTTTAATTGCCGCATATTACATCCACTATGTGTTGCTAAATTTTTAGTTGCACATTACCCGTCTTCCCGAGTAGCAACAAATTTTACTAATAAATCCCAAATCTTGTTTGATAATGAATGTCAAACTGCCAGTGAGGCAACAATGGATTTGTGTAATAAAATGTTCAAATGCACTGCCCACAAAGTTAATATGTTACTAACTTGTGAAGCATAGCTGCCTTTTTTTATTTTTGTCTACCCGAAACTAGTGAGGATCATTCAACTCTTTCAGGTATTTATCTGTTTAGTTCCAGGAACAGGAGTTGCGAGCTGACATTCTCATCGTATTTGGACAATGCCAGTTATTGAGGAATCAAGTTTTTGCTGCTCTTCTCTCAGGAATTAACGCTTTTGCAGATGATCTCTGGCAGATCCATCAGGTACTACTTCATAATTGTTGATTTGTTTAAATAATTTTCTAGAATGTAATAACATTTGAAAGTCTGGCACAGGGATTCAAGTTTTTNAGTTTTAGACACTCGAGATGGCTGTTTAACTGAATGATTAATGCAATCTCACGATCTGAGGGATTTAGTAGAAGCTAAAATAGCCAGCGACTAAGGCATTCGGTTGATGTAAAGTGCGGGAAGTACCATGATGTAGAGTGTAGGAGGTGCCATCGGCTATTCTGACTCTCTTGTGACAATGGAGTCAGCAATTGCATTTTGCAGAGAACTAAATGTCAGGGTCCACCAACACTCATTGTTACAATGAAATGATTTATTATAATCCTTCATTTCCTTACATGTAAATCTGCAATTCATGCCTATGTTTGATGGAATTGAACTCCATAAGTGATTATACACAATAAATTGGACAGATCAGACAGCATTGATGCTCTTATCTGTTCACATTTACTTCACTATCCGTTCACAGACTTGTCACAAGCAGATACCTAAGTTGCCGTTTTGAAAACAATTTCCTTTGAAAAACTGTAAAGTTAACCTTGCAACAAATTTCTTTCTTTGCTCATCTCACCAAATTTAATGTGCAACCCCACTTTTGCTACCTGACAAAATAGAATAACCAGAGTTTTTGCTGCCAAGGTGCCATATATTAACTGTACCACAAACAAATAAAGAATATTTACTCTTATCTGTTTCACCCAGAGTACATGTGTAGTGTTGCTCAGTGATTCAGGCCTAGCCTACACAAGCTTAAATCTTCTGAAATGCACATGTCAATGAGGTGGGAGGGTTTAAATGTTACATTGTTGCATCCTGATTCATAGAAACGTAGAAATCTACACTACAGAAGGAGGCCTTTCACCCCATCAAGTCTACTCCGAGCAAGGATACCGTTGCATCCCACGGACCTGCATTATCCCCAAAACAACAACAACAACTTGGATTTATATGGTGCCCTCCACGCCGGACGGCGTCTCAAAACACCTTTAAGCTCCTCTCTTTCATACGCCTATCTACTTCCCTCTTAAAAGTTACAATGGTCTCTGCCTCCAATATCCTACTTGGCAAAGTGTTCCACATTCCAGCTGCACTGGGTGAAAAAATTCCTCCAAAGTTCTCCCTTCAGTTTCTTTTGACTAACTTATAACTATGTCTCCTAGTCACTGACTCCCCTATCGATGGAAATAACTTCACCCTATTTAGCCTGTCAAAATCCCTCATAATTTGGTACCTTCTCTGGTCCAGTGAAAATAGAACTGATGACACATTTGATTTCCTTAGCACATGGAAGATCTTACTGTTTTACTCTACAAAAGGAGTGGAAGAGCTGAGGAACCTAGGGGGTTAATATACATAAATCTTTAAATGTGGGAAGACAGCTGGACTAAGCTGTCAAAAAAGCAAATGGAATCCTGGATTTTATAAATCCAAGGGTATAGAATTTAAAACCAAAGAGGTAATGCTTATCTAAATTGTTAGTTAGACCAAAGTTAGAATATTGTGTTCAGTTTGGTCATCCCCCCACTTTAGAAAAGACGTAAAAACAATTGAGGCGGTGCAGGGGAGTTTTGTTTGCATGATACTGGGGATGAATGGCTTTGGCTATGAGCACAGACTGGAAGAACTGGGACCTTTTTCTTTTGGAACAAAGGAAGTTGAAGGATAATTCAAAATTCTGAGGGGTTTTGATAGAGTTGATTGTTTGCATTGGTCATTGATCAGTGACGAGATCAGTGATATTGGCTTTTGAAAGGGAATTAGATAAATACCCAAAAGGGAGTATGGGGAAAGTCCAGGTAAATGGATCTGAAATGATTGCTCTTAAAAGAGACATCGTAGACACGATGGGACAAATGGCCTTCTTCTGTGCTGTAAATTTCTATGGTTCTATGGTATCAATCGTCAAAGTGCGATTCACTTGTTCTTCCTTAGGATTTTTGCATCCGACCCACTAAATGACAAGTTCAGATTCAGCACGTGTATGAACATAGAATAAGTCATACAACTTGAATAAAGATGTCAGTTTTTGAGTGTTTGGTGAGGATAAACTATCAGTAGACAAGTGCACTAAGTCCCTGCTGTCACATCTGGCAAATAAACAGGATAATAGAACATATTTTATATGTAAAGGGTTTAATTTGACTTACTACAGTGCAGACACATACCATTGCCATATAATAGAACTTTACAGTAAGTATTCTGGATTAATTTGTATTTGCAATAAATCATGTGGAAGCCTATTTGTCAACTCAATCTGTAGAATCCTTTTGACAAAACCGGCTATTGTAACATATATGTCACTCATTATAATACAGATTGGAATTTCAGTTGAAGGAACAGTTGAAATGTATGCATTTATGAATTTCAAGCTACATATATGAATGCAGATGTAGTTCTAAACACTTGCATAGTGTAGAGTACACACAGGAAGAATCTAGGAAGGTTATTCCTTCAATGCTTAAAAAGTACCGGATGAATGTGTTGCACCATGTCGTAAATTAGTTGCAGCTCCTAAAGCAGACTTAGCAATTTTAGTTTTGTGATGCAAATGAATATATAACTATGGGTCATGCATTGTTTTTTTGTGAAGTACAGCCTTTTTTTTCTAATGCTCTGTTTACTATAGCTGACTGGATTTTAATTTTATTCCTTGTAAATGTAATTTGAATTACAGAGTCCACATTTGTTATACACATTTAACCTTCAAAGGTACTTAGGCATCAGAGTCTATGGCCCCAGACAATTGTGAGTTAGCCATTGATATAACTTGCATTTATTTGGCCAAGAGAAGTTAGTCATGCATGGGGCTCATTGTCAGCATATTAGCATTCACCTGCAGTCACTGGGGACAGGATTCATCCTAATCAGCAGCTGGTGACCCTGCATTTTGATATCAATCTATCCTATCCCAATTACACTACATATTGCATGTTCATCTTTACTTACACAGCATCATTTTTTTATAGTTATTCATCTTTACAGTCACCTTTGTACATATATTCTTACCAAACACCTGACATATATGCACAAATGCTAGCCCACACTCTATACTCACTACAAATAATGACGAGCATGGTTTCATATACGAAGAGACATTTTATCTTGTGTAATATATTCTAGAAATAACTGTTGTGTTTTGGGCGCATAGGTTATAATTTCTTGATTTTTTTTATTTGCTCAACTGGATACACCTTTTAAAATAACTTGTTTTTGTCCTTCATATGCGATGTTAAACCAAGGTCTCGTCTGCCTATTCAGGTGGATGTTGAAGACCTCAAGGCAACTTTGAAAAGAGAAGGAAGTTTCTCCTGGGGTCGTGGCCAACAATCCCTCAAATAAAATTGTCATTCACTTCATGGCTGTTTGTGAGCTATCGCTGTGCATGACACATTGTTGTGTGTAAATTGGCTACTGTGTGTGCCTGTAAAATACAGTCACTACACTTTAAGTAAATCCTGTGCAGCGCTTTCTTTGAGACTTTCTCCTGACATGAAAGATGCTATGTCAACATACAAGAATTATTATTATCATAAACTAAATTCCACATGTATCAACCATTCACTCACATCATTTTTTAAAGTACTAGGAGTACTAGTGTCAGCCTGGCTCAGTTAAGAGAACTCTTGCCTCTGATTCAGAAGCTTGTGAGTTCAAGCCTCATGTTGGGATTTTAAGCACAACTAGGGATTGAACCAGGGATCTTTATGAATCCAAAGAACATATCTTGAATAGCAAAAAAGCCTATTTAAGCCTATCCTGCGACATGGTCCTTTTTCTATTTACTTTTATGATATTCATACTTCCACCAATTTATTATCCCTTGTCCAGCCACAACCAATTTTGAGTAATTCCATTGAGGCATGCAAGACATTAAATATTCCAGATTGGCTATCTCGGCATACCAGTTAAGATTGCAGGGTGCACAGTAGCTAAGATGTAATCATAAACCCTGCACTGAATATGGATATAATACAAATAGCATCATCTCTGCTACTTCATATGACAAAGTCAAAAACTCTAAAATTAGAGGCTGTGTGCTCGAACTCAAAAGATACCAGGTGAACACATGAGTTAGGTTTCATCAGTTTACACAGAGAGATGTGAATATGTGAAATAGACTATTCAGCAACATGGTGGATTGTGTTAGAAAATATCTAACATGTGTGCAACTCAGGGAAGAGAATCTTTAATCTCCAGTCATTTTTAAGTCAATTATCTAAATAATCCTTGCATTTGATATAGCGCTTTTCACATCTTCTAGACATCTCAAAGCGCATCACAGAATATACTGTAAAATGAACTGGCTACATTTGTGGGCGAAATGCGGCAGCCAATTGCGCACAACAGTGTCCCATAAACAGTCGTGGATTGAAGTGATCAATTTATTATTATGGTTTTTTTTCTTGAGGGATTATTATCAAGCGTGTGGAGTAAGGAATCTTGCCCATGGTTTTGCGCTGCCAGGAATCGAACCCAGATCTCTCGCTTGCGAGGCGAGTACTCTAACCACTGAGCTACAGAACTCCACATCTTTTAATCTATTAATTATCTATCTTCTTCATCTCACAATTTAGTTTTTTTCAGTTACACATTCAATAGCTAAACTAAGCAGTGCTGCTGATCAGTCTTCAGTGTGTAATAAACTTTCTTATTCACCTATGTAACATAAAATCAACTGAACTATGTATCTCCGGATCACTACTGGTGGAAGAGTGACAGAGTAAATTACATGAGCTTGATTCCTTATTTGTTAAAAATTAATGATGCAAGACATGTGGAAGTGTGCTTTTACCCTTTGGGAAATTTATCCAATGTGGTGGTCAGCTTTTTATGGTAAGATTTCCCATTACAACAACAACAACAACAAAATTACATTTATAGAGCGCCTTTCACGTCGGGAGGATGTCGCAAAGCGCTGAACAGTCAGGTGTCGAGGCCCGAGCATGGGGGAGGGATGGTGTAGGGGTGAGGGA